ATCTATCTATCTATCAATCTACCTATCTATCTATCTCTCTCTCTTTCTCTCCCGCACTCTTTCTATCTCTCTCGCTCTCTCTCGCCTTCTCTCTTGCTCTCTCTTTCTCTCTCTTGCTCCCTTTCTCTCTCTCTCTCTCTCTCTCTCTCTCTCTCTCTCTCTCATTCAGAAGTCAGAGTGAAATATTAAGGAGGAAGATAAGAATGATGGCCTCCGTCGTTGCTATTTCTTCGTTACGATCTCTGTGGATGCTAAAGTTTTAATAAGAGGTTCAATAATCGTTTTTGTTATTCGTACTTTCATTTGTTTACTTACAATAAAATATATTAAAATTTAATTGTTTTGGCGCTCCAATGAACACAAATTAGATGACCAACCCGGACTGAGAGGGATTTAACAACATCCCAGAAGAAAGACGGATCGATAAAGGCAATAAGAATTCTCCTCACATTTTCAACCAGAATATGTACGTATTTTTATAGTTTAAAAAAAAAAATGTGGTGGGTATATTGATTTTGAGGATAAACACAAGCATGGATTTATGAATCCGAAGGACTTGGTCGGTAGTTTGATTCAAGTAAATGTAGAGAGAAAAAATGAGTCATCACTTTTACTTCGATTTTTGTTTTATTGAATTTCGATCCTTGGTTTTAATAACTGTTGAAGTTTATTCACTTATCAAACAGAGCCTGGGTGTCAGGAAAACACCACTTGTAGGCTTTATGTGTTTTCTTTCCCTTTGTTTTTTTCTGCCTATCTTGCTCTAGCTCTAATCTTAATGGACCTTATTATGTGGATCAATTTTTTTTTATTCAAAGACATAGAGTAGTTTGGAAAACGAAACATTTCCTGATGGGAGGACACGATGTTGAGGTTAAAAATAATCAAAAGGGACAAGAGAAAACTATGGCTTCTCTAGGTCTCGAACCCAAACGTACCACATACAGTCAAGTAAGAAACTGACCGACCACAGTCGTAGTCTCGATAATCCTTGGTTTTAAGAGTATTTTTTCCACCGTCGGTATTTATGCTCTATCACGTTGTATGTGTTTGTAATTTAATTTCAGGAGGTTTGTCCCAGAATAACGGTTCCCTGTCTTTTAACTAAAATTCACTCACTTTTCAAACGAATAATATGAAATGTTACATCACAATTTTTTTAAATAGAATTATATGTGTATGATCTCTACATCAATTAATTACTACATCACATCGGATCCTGGAAATTGCCGTTACGACGTTTTGTATACGTTTACCTTTTAGTGTTGCTCACGCCATGGCAACCTCCCAAAAAATGAAATACAGGCTCTAACCATACATTGCCATGCCACACCATACAATGGGGCGCTTTTGTGGCCAAGAGGTTAAGGTGTTCACCTTTCATTCAAAGGTCCCTGATTCGAATTCGGATAGCAGCGGAAAATTTATTTTCTACTAAAAAAAATGTATCCTTTCATATCCTTACCTACTCTCCAGCAATATTTTGTCGTCTGCTTTCGTCTCCTCTTTCTGCCCCCACCCCCTCACCTCCTTTCCCCCATCCTCTGGGCTCCTGACTCTTGCTGTAGTTTTTATACTGCTACTCCTTGGTTCCTTGTTACTGCTGTTTTTTCAGCCATACGCCTGATCTTATTGCAGGAAAGATCTACACCTAGC